TTGGGGTAGTTCGAAATTAGTAAAACAAATGAAAAACAAAGAAGAATAACACGTATCACGCTTTCTTGCAAACTCGCGATCCCAGCCTGCTCATCGAGTTCAAACGGACATGGAATGAAACTAACTCTGATTTAAAGAAAGCAAAGCACCAGTATTACCAAATAAATTTATGCCAGTTTAAGATGACTAGAGAAAAATATAGGAAAGATATAACAGTATTGCAAACTATAAATAAAGAAAGAGTGGATCGAAGGAAAACTCAGTCAACGGGAGGTATGTGAATAGAGTCGAAATGGCCAACGCAACAAACGAGCATTTCATTAATCTCGGCAGAAGTACTGAATCACAAATCGATACAGACTGTGATATGACAACGCCAAAGGTAACAAATTCCGTAATGCTGTTTCCAACAATGGCACATAAATAGAAATGCTCATTTTAAAGTAAAACTTGGCATTGCGGTGGGATAAGAGGAGCTCAAAACCCGACCAATTAAGTGGACAGCCAGAGCCATTAGTCCTATCTGATCACACATTGCAAACAACTTACTGCGATAGGGTATTTTCCCGAACGACTTGAAGTTGGCTAAAATTACTGCAATCTACAATAGTGGTAGTCAAATGAGTCTTTAAAATTATAGGCCAATGTTTGTTTTGACATTTTTTGGAAATATTCGAAGCCATAATAAAAAAAACACGTCTGGAAAGTGTTTTTTTACAATGCACGAAGTAATAACAAGAGCACAGTACGGATTTCAACAAGAAAACTCTACAGAACAAGCTCTACTGGGCATTAAAATAAATCTTCTTGCAAATATAAAAAAATACGTTCGGTTTATTTCTAGACTTAAGAAAAGCTTGGGACACAGTTCAGAGTAACATTTAAACAAAAAAAAAACTGAAGTTCCGTCCAGACAATCACCAAAGGTGATTGTCTGGGCAGATCAAATGGATCAGTCATTTAGTGGCCTTAAAGAATCACCGATAACTAAGCCAGTGTAAGAGCACCTGTTTACACAAAATCCTTCATTGTCCAATGCGACACCAGCAACCGAGGTATTGGTGTGGTGCTATGCCAAAAGGATAAGAACGGCAATGAGCACCCAATTTTATACGCCAGCCGAAAACTGACTCGTCGTGAGGAGCTACGCCTACCGTTCCTCCAAGCAGGAATGTGCGGGTTTAGTATGGGCAGCTCAAAAACTTTGTTTTTATTTAGATGGGGCTACATTTATATTCCAAACAGATCACTGCCCCTTAACTTGGCTTCAGCAGATGTCATCGAAAAGTGGAAGGTTGCTGAGGTGGAGCTAAGCTCTAGAGCAGGGGTGGCCAAACCGCGGCTCGCGAGCCACATGCGGCTCTTTGCTGGTCGAAGTGCGGCTCGCGGATCCCTCGTAAGGACACACCCCCTCCCCTTCGCCCGTTTCCGCGTCCCCCCCCCCCCTCAAAAAAAAAGAAAGAAAAAAGAGAAGATTTCATAATAAAGCACACTGCAGCTTGCAGTTTGACAGCCTTGTAGTCCTTACGTGCAGTCGTACAGCCTTGTGCCCCCATGCGTACAGTCAGAATCTCAACAAAAGTTAAGTTTGTTCCCCCCCCCCCCCCCCCCCCCCCCCCCGCGGCTTTTAGAAGTTCCGTGGTTTTGTTTGCGGCTCTTAGGTCTGGCCAGCCCTGCTCTAGAGGAATACAAATTTACTGTTGAATACAAAAAAAGGTCAGGATGATAAAATTGAGGATGCGTTAAGTCGTTTGTCGACAAACACGCTACCACTTTCTATTTGATAAATGCAAGTAACGACGTAAACTAATAAGGAGCATCAACTTCAAGGGAATTGTATGCGGATCAAACAAAATTTGTTTTATTTGGATCTGCAGGCATACATCGCAGCGACTAATTTCTGCCTGGGCTATGCAGATGACGAGAAAGAACGGAACGCTACCCCAATAAACTCTATTTTCTTGCTTTGTTTAAATGCATGACTTAGTATAGTCCCAATGCAATTTTGGGAAACAGAATAGACACACAAGGCGACTTTCAGCGTGCGAAGGTCTGTCTTCGCTCGCTCCGCTGTCTCTGTCGCTGTCTGTCTGTTGCGGCCTGCTGCGTCTCGGCGGCGTTCTGGAGGTCTCTCGACTGCCAGTTGCAAGCTGGCACCGTCCGACAGACCACCTTGCAGGCGCGGAAGTTGTTAAGGAGTGGAACCACTGACCTGCACTGCAGACCAGAGCACCCGAGCACTTAGCATCCGCAAGCATGCCACTGGCCGAGACTTCTTCTTTATCAACTACCATCCTAAACAACTGGCTGCAGCCAAATTGCTGTCGCTACCACCTCCTGCTCTACTAATCAACGGGAGCGAAGACTGCTCAAGCTGTGAGTGCATCAACGGTCCGGATATAAAAAGGGGAGCGCGAGCCATGGGGCAGCGCGCGACCAGAGGAACGCTCGGTCTGGTTGAGCCGACAGCTACCATTCATCCCCTCATCTTTTTAATTATATCATTCAAACACTCCACCCTGGCTTGACGTTCCTGCGTTCTTGTCCCTCCCACAGGAACCTAACGATATATATATATATATATAAATATCGAGTTGTAAGTCTTCCGAGCATCTTTTTGTAATGTCTCTGTGTGCGCCAGTGCCTTGTCAGCACTTGCCCTTCTTTCGGACCCTGTCCGAAACAAGTTGAGATAAATGAATATAAAAGGCAGTCTTCTGAATTATGTGTTCTCAGTATGACCGAGGCCTAGGAGCACGCCATCGAAAGAGATCGTCGTCAGTATCCTCGAAATCTGAAGTGAAGAGAGGGAAACAAAAAGAAGGGGGGGGGGGGGGGGGCCGATGCTTCCACCCCCCCCCCCCTTTTCTTGCACTTTTTCTGGACGCTCATGTGCCGTGCTCTCGCCTGCAATTGCGGCCCGGCTTAAGCGTACCGCCAGCGATGTCACGATCTGTCGGCAGGTGCGTCAATCAGACGCCTTCCTTCAGCAGACAGCCGTCGTAGTTAAAAATTTTACGTTTTTCGCTTGTAATTTTCAGTTAGAAAAGAAAAAAATTCTACAAAAGAAAACCGTTTAGAGAAATTTCCATACCCTTATTAATAATCAACCTTCAGCCACCTCTCTCAAAAAAAAAGCTCAATACGTTGATAAGCTGATTCATACGGTCCCTTCGAATATAGCCATCGTTCCCTTTACTCTGTACATATAAAACTAAAATCAATTGCAAGGCAAATATATAGAACTATTCCCCAGCCTCATTTATGTAATTCGTAATTGAAATTTTAATAGAACGGTGTAAGTAATTTTAACTATGACTGCGCCTTTCAATGGAGGCTTTAGAAAAGAGGGAACAACGCTTCAAAATGGTTGTTCCCCCGAATTCAAAGAAACGCGGCATCTTTTTTGTTTTGCTGAATGTTTAGTTTCACAAATCAGTTGCCGCTTCCAATATTTGACAGCCGAAAATAATACCTAGCTTTTTGACTCGCTACTTCAGCGCACTTGTGACTACGCATGTTGTGCAACTCTTAGGGTTTATCAGCGTTTTCTCGTCGTGAAAATTACAAGCGAGAGATGGGGTGAGAAGTAAGTGGGTTTCTTGAGTAAATGTGTACCCAATCTATTTCCCCCCGGATAGACATCTATGACTCCATTACTTCCACATACTCTATAACCCTTTCGCTACTGGCCTACTTGATAGACCTGTGTCAACAGTAACATGTATCCTTTAATCAAATTAGAATTGAATAGTATCGAATAATGGCCATAATATCGAATGTCGAATCGAATACGTATACCAGACATTTCATTCCCAATACCGACTTGACAAAACAAAAACCCGGGGAGGCGAGCAGAGAATGTGTGGACCGCGTATTATGCGCGCATTGTGATTTGCTATGCTTGGTCGCGGAGAGCTTCGGGTGGTTTCGGACGCTGCACACACGACACCGTAGTAATCTCCGGGTTCATGAGAATGACTGGGACAAGTTTCAATTTCTTTGAGAGTGGAGTCCCTCACGAGCCTGTTTGAATGAGAAATGTACCATGCGTGTATGGCTTCGAATTCCTAGTTCTCTTGGATTGCGTGGAGCCCCTTGATACCAAAACGAGAAGCGGAACTCGAATCGCCTCTTCGTTGATAAGTTGCGTCTGACGTGCAACCTCCTAGGATGAGATTACGGTCGACAAGGAACTCGAGACAATATAAAAGCGGCCGAAGTCTTCTCTGAAAGGTCAGAGAGAACCAGGTCTTCGTTTTGACAACAGGTCCTTTCCCGAAATCAGCATCCTTGCACTGTGAGCACAAAACGCTTTTAGTTGTAGCATTTTATTTAATGCGCGAATAAACCGTACAGTAAAATAGTAAACGTAAAGAGTGGCCACTGAGGCCCAATCCTGGCCGAGCTGCCAGGATTCACAACACCCGCTAGCTGACTCAGTGGTGCCTAATTATTTAGACATTCGTTATATTTGCGCCATTAAGAAATAACATCTTAATGATTTACATATTCTTAAAGCCTATCAGTTCCTTCTCACGTTTTTAAAAGTATTGCGACTGCGACGGGTTTTGGCAAGACGAACGGTTTGGCAACCGCGCCATAAAGGCAGCCAAGTTGGCGGGGGTGGATGGGGCCTGCTATGGCGGTCATCGTGTGATTTTCGCCAGGTTCTTTCTTTGTGGCGAAGGTCAGACGGTTAAAGCGCCACCTTGTGGAGCGTTTCAAACTAGGAGGTTGTACTGGGCAGGAGGAGGCCGCAAAATGGATTTTAATATTTCGGGTTTTGAGACGATTCATTTTCTTTGTCTTTTTTCTTTTACGAAGTTCCCCATCTTTTACCACACTCTAGGGTAATTAGCGTAATGATCAGGAAACTCAGTTAAAGGACGCCACTATGAAAATATGGGGCAAACATTTTACTCGTCGCTTTCCAAGCTGCCTTCATTTTGTTCCTGTATCTTTTTTATTCGTCTTCCTGTTTATTTTCTAGGCGTTCAGACTCTCTTGAGAAAATGTTGAGGTTCATGACTTTGCTTCTCGCAGCCAGCACATTTGGTAAGTCAATCAAACCGGTAATATCGGGCGTACCTCAAGGCAGTATCTTAGGACCTCTTCTTTTTAACGTTTATGTCAATGATATTGTAAACATTGACTAGACAACGAAATTTGTTATATATGCTGAAGATGCGACGCTTCTTTTTACTGCTGATAAGGCACATCAACTTATATCTATGGCCAACACAGTACTAGATAAATTAGGAGAATGGACCGAAAATGAATGCTTTAAAAATAAATACCAATAAAACAAAAGCTATGGTATTTATGCCGAAAAACAAAGTTATTGCTCCATTAGAACAGATTTATATAAACTCGGTGAATATTGAATTGGTTGAGTTATTCAAAACGCTTGGCGTCGTGTTTTCACAAAACATATCATGGAACCACCATATTGAGTATTTAAAAGAAATATTCAAAGGTTGTAGGTCTGGCATATCGGAATCGATATATATTTTCGAGGTCAGTTAAATGCTTACTGTATAAATCTCTATTTTTAGCTCATTTAAATTACTGCCACCTGGTTTGGGGTACTACCACGGCAACAAATCTTAGGGTGATGCACCCACTGCAAAAACGAATGTTACGTGCAATTGCTAATGTGCCGTTCTGCTCGCATAAAAAAAAAAAAAACTGTTCATAATGTATGATATATTAAGTATCTACAACATGTATAATTATAGGCTTTCTACAAAGTATGAACATGAATTGTGCAGTAACCGTACTTACATAATTGAACTGTCTGGTTTAAACAAACGCGTTCCCAATTATCAATTTCGAAACCCTGAATACTGGAATGCACCTACTTGCCGATTAAACCTAGGAAAAGAAATGTTATGCTGGAGATTATCTAAACTGCTTAATTGTTTTATTCACAGTGATGTTCACGTTGACACCATCAGCATGAAAAAATTGCGTGCGTTGATGTGCCATTTTGTTGTAGACGACTAATGCTTTTGGAGTGCGTGTGCGTTTTTTAGTTTTCTCTCGCCTTGTCACTGCTGCGGAATGCAATTTGGGGGCCGAGAGTTCGTCAAGCCGTTTCGTGCGGCTTTTTTTCTCGGCCTCCACCATTGTAAATGCAAAATAAAGATATTATTATTATTATTATTATTAAGATATAAATTATTGCTAAATCGAATACAAAATTCGACTGAAAAGCTTTCCGTTGGTAAAATTTCGCAGCCAGTTCTAGCTCACCAATGTCGAGCAGGACATTGCACGTTTTTTCCACGGAAGCCCTTTTGATACGTATCAAGAGCAGCCTGCCAAAATACGGCTTTCAATTTTGTTTTTAAATACTAAGGCGTTGGAACGTCTGGTCGTCTAGTCATTAGGCTTAGCCAATGAGAGCTTAAAAAATGCCGGATACTGCGAGTGCCAAACATCTTAATATGGCTCCGCGGTCATTGAGATTGCGCAATCAGCGGTTGGATTGTGGCATTAACCACACTCTGCACTTCTTCAGTTGTCTGTGACTTCATGAAGAAAAACAGAACGAAATACAAGGACACAGGGCCTTGTCCTGTGTGTATTCCTCTCGCCTGTGTACTTTGTTTCGCGCTCTTCGTCATCATGAGTCAGGCTTCCATTCTAGTAAGCTCTATTGTTCCTGACACGAAATACAGGTTGTTAAAACAAAAATATGTTTGTTTCTTTTTCACTTTAAAAATAACTATGCCTCTTCGAAAACTCATTTTCTGCTTAAATAAAATGCTAAAGGTCCACCATGACGCCAAAATATCAGAACTAACCCAATTCTCATTCAAAAGCTGCAAGCAATTTTCTGAAACTTTCAATGTGAAAGTTGCGGCCAACGAAGCTCTCAAGCATATGTAGCTGGATGGCTCCGTTTACCGAAATCGGGGCACAAACGGGCCGCATTTTCCCATTAAACTCTTTAAAGAAATAACACGTAATTTTTTTAATGAGATAACGGCTACTTTCGCATCTGGTTCTGTACTCCCTGGGCTACATTTGCGTTTAAAATCAGCGTTACAATCCGCGTTATTTTGTGTATATTTTGTCTAAAATGTTTTTGAGTATGTATTGTAGATTTATGAGCAAGGGTTCGAAACCTTTAAGAAATGTGGAGTGTCTAGTTTCTCGCCATTAACGTGGGGACCCAAGAGGTGCCATCTGCAAAGGAAGACTGCTGAAGAACACGAGACTAGCAAACTCTAATGGCCTATAAAACGCAGTCCGCGCTGAAGCACTGAGCAAGGGGAAACGTCATGCTCAGCTCCACAGCCCAGACTGCGTTTCTTAAACCGACAACGACTACAGTTGAATGCGGCCTCGTTTACTCGTTTAATTCATAAACAGTTTAACTTCCCTTCACATGGAGAGACTGCATGGTGAAGTTATTTTTATTAGTTCACCTAGGCAATGGAGCGACCGTGCATGACTTCAACGATTATGTGGACAAGGTCGTTGGCTCGACTCTACCGCCTCTCATTAGGAACGCACATTCGCTTTATCCGGAGACGCGCATTCCATTCCACAGGTTCGAGGTAAAGGGAGATTCTTTATTCTACTGCGAACAAAAGCTGGGCTTCTCTCTAATTAGGTTGTGGAAACCAGCTGGCCTTACAGAAAAGGGTGAGGAGAGAAAGGAGAAAAGGCATCCGATCGCTGGACTACCAACTATTTATTAACCCTCGGCTTCTTCTTCTACTGGTTTGGTGGCTGTCCTTTTCACGTCTTCTTTTTCTTTTTTCTTGATCTTCCTTTATCTTCATGGGCATTTTCGTCTCGCAGGAACTTCTTCTCACTTGTTTGTAGGGCAATGGATGGTGAACTGATGCAGTTGTCTTTTTGTTGTTCTATGGCTAAGGCCTCAAGTAGTTCTCGGGCGAACCGGTCTTTGTGGTGAGCTAGGATGCTTACCGTTTCGAGCTTAGCCTCACACATGCATTCTCTACAATGAGCTGCTAGATGTCCAGGTGCAGCCAGGTTTCTTAAGTTGGCGGCATGTTCTCGCGTTCGCCAGACCAACGGAAAGATCAGCTTCAAATCCACCATTCACGAATTGCGAAGCAGAGATCTTAAGTTATGCGTCTCAGACAAAGAGGGAGGTTTTGTTGTTCTTGGTTCAGATGCATATGGAGAAAAGGCTGATCAAGCTATCATCAAGAATTTTATAAATGTTGACGAACAACAAACCAAAGCAGCAAAAAGACACGTCTTAGACCTCTTGGAAAAAAATCAACAAACCAGCCTTTGCACCAAGATCAAAGCCGAAAAAATGAAAAGCTTATGGTGTTTTTCTCCGCCAAGACTCACCTTTCCGGGCCATATTGTCGGAAAAAACAACGTGGCAGGCATGTGTTTCAATGTATTTGGCCCAACAACTTTCCACAATACACCTTGCGGACCTATTCCACATACCAAACTCTGAGCGAGTGATATCATATCTAGAGGAACAAGGAAACAACATCGTCTCGGGGCTTTCCTTGGACGTACAGGACATGTATTACTCCATCCCTCAAGCAAGGCTTCTACAGGTCCGCCAAAGTTCCATCGAAAACCAAGGGCTCGCGCAGTTCCAAAATGCAGCAGGTGATAGCCTAGACACCTTCTTGGAGGTTTTAAGATATTATTTGTCCGCAACGGTACTAACCCATCAAAATCGGCCGTATGTCCAGAAGAGTGGTGTGTGCATTGGTTCAAAAATGGCCCCATACTTGTGCGACATCTTTCTCGCCGCATGTGGGGTAGCCATACAGCAAGTTTTAAAAGACCCGCGAGTTGCCGCTATTTTCAGGTATGTTTACGATTTTCTTATTTTATGTACAACTGGAGTTGATGAATCAGCAGACAGATGCATCCACACCACCCTCAGGCATTTCCAGACAAGCTGCATGGGGCTCACATTCACCTACGAGCCCCCTGTTGATAATTCCATACGGTTTCTTGATTTGGCCTTGAACTTCCAAACAGAACATTTGTGTTGGAGATATGAAGTGCGATCGGGGAAAGGGTTCCTTCCATTTGAATCCGAACATTCCAAAATTGTAAAACAAGGGGTCGCTAGTGCAGCTTTTTCAGCCAGCCTCGGAAAGACCTGCCCCCATCAGATGGTAAAAAGTTTTCAAACCCAAATGTCCAGGCTTCAAGAGGCCGGATATCCGAAACCCTTCCTGGCCTCCATTTGTGAAAAGATTAGCCGCAACATAAAAAGAACTTGTCAACGCACCGACCTTGATCCACCGAAGCAGATCTCCCGTTCACCTTTTGCGGTGGTCCCATATATACATGGGGTAACTCACAGGTTAAAAAAGATTGCAAGCAGACACGGCGTAAATATCATATGCTCGGCACCCAACAAGGCACACGCAATATGCAGGAAGGTCAATCTAGCCCAGGTTAACAATACAGGCAGGTGTACCATAATACACAACACAGAATACGTTCCATGCGACAAAGGAGTCGTTTACAACATACCATTGTCATGTGGTCGTAGCTACATCGGGCAACGGGACGTTGTATAAATAACCGAACGCGAGAACATGCCGCAAACTTAAGAAACCTGGCTGCACCTGGACATCTAGCAGCTCATTGTAGACAATGCATGTGTGAGGCTAAGCTCGAAACGGCAAGCATCCTAGCTCACCACAAAGGCCGGTTCGCCCGAGAACTACTTGAGGCCTTAGCCATATGTAGAACAACAAAAAGAAAACTGCGTCAGTTTACAAATCTATTGCCCTACAAACAAGTGAGAAAAAGTTCCTGCGAGACGAAAATGCCCATGAAGATAAAGGAAGATCAAGAAAAAAGAAAAAGAAGACGTGAAAAGGACAGCCACCAGACCAGTAGAAGAAGAAGCCGAGGGTTAATAAATACTTGGTAGTCGAGCGATCGGATGCCTTTTCTCCTTTCTCTCCTCACCCTTTTCTGTAAGGCCAGCTGGTTTCCATAATCTAAGTATGTACAACCAACTAGCTGAGCTCCTTCCCATTGCATGCTTCTCTCTAACTTGCATTGAACCTGGGCCGCTTTGGTGGTGAATGCGGGTGGCTCGCCCAGCGGTTAAAGGAGCCTCAAAAGAGACTATGACGCCACGTCGCCGGCTTGGTGAGGATAAAAACAAATTAAAGGCAGCGAGAATTGAAGGGAAATAGCGGCCGTGAGTGAGTCTACGCTTTGATTATTCGAGTACGGTTGGACGCGAACGAGGAGGGTGAAGAGGCTCGGAATGTAACCGGTATTATTTGTATTAGTACGTATTTAGAAGGGGCATGTAAATTTATTTTTGCGGTAGTTTCTGGTAAGTGGTAATTAAAGGAAAATACGGGCTAGGCTCAGGAGTGGTTGACCGAAATCGGCTGGAACACAACCGGTGCGTTCTTCCCATGGAGCCGGTTTGGTTACTTCAAAATCTTCTTGCGGCTATTTTAACCACCTAGAGAGACAGCCGCATTGATCAGCAGGCCGGCCAAGAAGAGTACAGCGAAATCCGGCTTTTGGATGTCGTAATCAATAACGAGGGTCGAGATTCGATAGGACAAATACTTTCTTGATTTTAGTATGAACTAAAAGGCTGGTTCACCCATTTCTGTTTCGGTTGAGTACCCTGTGTTCCCTCGTGGTAATCACCCACGGCGAAAAAACAGATAGGCACGCTGGCGCCATATCCTCCTATTAGGTATCATTAGAAACACTTTTAATCTCCTCGTAAGGTGCAAGATGAACAAGTCCAAGATACAGGCACGCAGCCAGGGGTGGGGGAGGGAGAAGCATTGCCCCCCCCCCCCCCATACAGCATCAGCATTTTGTCATGCTCCCCCCCCCCCCCTCTTCCCGTCTCCCCGAAACATAAACCTGGCTACGTGCCTGGCAAGATACATAAGGATGCGTTAGGGCGCGGTAACCTGTTGGAGCCATCACTGTGACGGTAATCTGAATTGCCTCAGGACTGCTCTCTTTTTTTGCTGTAGAAACGCTTGGAATTGACTCTTTTGCATTCGCAGCTATCGGAAGAGTTCGCCTGGCAAAACGATATAGAAGTGAGACTGACAGAGGGGGCTGTGAAGGAACTGGACGTCGTCACTGAACGTAGCGGAAGCTGCAGTCATCCTTCCGAGGTGATGGGAGCCACAGTTACAACCTGCACCCTCGACTTGAGCCAACACCAAGCCACGTATACCGTTCAGGTGAGAGTGCTGATATTTCCAAAATGCTAAACGAGATTTTACAAACGCCATCCTGTGCTAAGAATGCGTCTTCGCCTGGTGTCACTTTGATACTACCCTGTCCATACATAAATACTGGTCTCGAGGTGGAAACAAATAGCGTCATGGAAGCCGTCGAGTCACGCTGTGGAATGCCACATATGGTGACAGAATTATGGATTCTCGAACGTGTTTCCAACTAGTGTGTTCACCGCATCCAAAAAAATGGTCCCTCGATTTAAGCCTCGTGACGTCATAGAAGTGTCATGCAGTCGCCAGTCGCGATCTTGGCTGTGTCCCAGCAGCAGTAGAAGACGTACCAGACGCCTGTTCTGCTGTAGGTCGCTCTACAGTGTCACCGACCACGGAAATTTCCACATCCAGAGGTTGGAACGCCGCGACAACAGCGACACTCGCGTTCGCTCGTGATTTTCGCCAGTATTTCTACGACAACCCGCCAGGATCGCGACATCCAACTGCTTGGAAGTCCGGCTTCTATGAGGTTATTGGTTGCCCCTCAGGGGCCACTCCTGATGAATGGGCGAGATCAAACACCAGACACTCCTGCAGGAGACGCGCTCCAGGCACCATACTAGAAGTGTAGGCAAAAAGCACGAACGAACGTGACTGCCGCTGCCGTCACAGCTTTCCAACTTGTGGCTGCTGAAGTTTCTGCTAAATTTAAAGGGGGAATTGAAGTGACGTCACTAAATGTCACGTAACGTGGTCGCATGACGCCAATTTTTCTTTTATAATTAGTGGGGAACTTCAAGTGACGGTTTTCTTTCTTTACAAATATTTGTAGCGGTTTTCTGACAAAATTCGACTGATGAAACGCATTCTTAAAGGGGTGGTGCAACGATATTCAGTAGGACTGTTTTTCACTTTACATGAGCTTACTGGCACTAGTGGGACTCAAGCATACTCGCACGCTACGCCACTGACCAAGAAACTCCTTTGTTGCGCTGTAATTTCGCAGACAAAACCGAGCGTTTTCATTCAATCTCTCTTTCGCAAAACCTGATGACGTAGCTGGGCGGTAGCAGTACCGCCCAGTGACGATATTTGAATGCGCCTCATAGATTGGACGCGAGCATTGCGTGGGAACTCGATTTGGGCTCGTGATAATCTATAGCTCGAGAAGAATTTGGGTAGTGTCCTGTGTCCAATCGCTGCAATGACGACAACAGCCGAACCTTAGCAATGTCTAGAACGCAGCGCGTGTCCTGTGCATTGCCAACCCCAGCGCATAATTATGATCAACATTGGTGGCATATAATAGGCTCCAGATCACGTGGGCGCTTGTTCTGGCTGCAAGTTGAGGGGGTGAACTCGAATCGTTTTTTTTTTATTTTTTTCTGCAACTTCGATTGCGTGTGATGAAAAACGAACGGGTATTTCACAGGTCATTAGGGTCAGGGATTCGTTCTAAGCATATTTTTGCAAAATACAAAAATCATTGCATAGCCCCTTTAAAGGTGTTACACATTAAATGGACACTGACCCCTCCTAAAAACGTTTTTATTTTTATTTTTTTTCGAAAAAAATTTATTATGTTGTCGGAAGACTACCCGTTCAATTAATATTTTGCTACAAAGTCACGCATGTTTTTCATAAAAAAAAAAAGAAAAACGCAACTGATCGGAACCGAAATCGAAACCTGCGCCCGGAGGTCGGAGAAATATAGGCCGTGTTCAATAATTTACTCGATCTCACTTCAGGGTAAAGGTTTTGTACCTTGGCGTTCCATAACCCACCCGCGTCCAACGCTGCTCTATCTGTGTGGTCACGTGACATGATGCGCTGGAGTTACTCGGATCCATTTGAGTGAGATTCGGAACACAGCCATAGAGGATGAGAGAGTGGCGGAGGTCATGTTGCTACACCCGACCGCCGTGCTTTTTCTTTTCCTCTCCTTTTTAGGTATGTTTGTTCCGCTCGCTGTTCTGCACTTGAAGATGAATTGTTTTTGTATATTCAAGAGTAGGAAATGAGTAGTGAGTGACCATGGTGAATTCCCCTGATCGGCTCCGAAAAGAATACCCACAAGATGTTGCGTGAAGCGCTGCCTGACATGTCCTGCATCCGAAAGTGGCGTTTTGCGGCAGAGTCTGCACAAGTTTCCGAAAGATCAACGGTATAGAGACCAGTGGCTGGCTGCAATTTCTGTAGAACAGTTACGGGCACCTAGGAAAGCGGACGCTACCCGATTGATATGCCCCTTGCATATTGTGGAAAGTGACTACATGGAGTTCACATATATCATAATAGGAATCCCATACCATTTAGTTCAGCGACGTTTCGTCCGCAATACTTGTTTCTTTTGAATAATAATTGTAAAAAAGAAATATAAATATCGTAAACTGATTGACGAAAAAAAAAATAAAGCCCCCCAAAAAAACGTTACGCCCACACTTGGGATCAAACCAGGATCCGCTGCGTGTGAAGCGGACATCTCTCCACTGAACTACTGGGGGAACTGTTCGTAGTAATGCTGCCGGTCGACTGTAGGTCGGAAAGCTTCCTGCCGATTTTCCCCCGGCTTCGGCACTCCCGGTTCGAAGTCGGGCAGCACCACGCATTGGCTACATTTGCTTCTAGTAAAGAAATCGTACGCGTGTATATTCAACTCGATACCTTCAAAGCGATACCTTCAGCCACGAGAAGGGCCGACGGCTCGGCGACGTCTTTGTGCAAATCGGTGTGGCGATCGGGTGCGTCGTACGGGATGAATACCAACTCTTTTGATCGGTTCAAAGTTTCTCTTTCGAAGGAAGACAGATACGTCGGTACCGCGAACGACAGTTCTGAAGTAGAGGTCCCCGTCGTCCGCTGTCATCGCCGTCCAACACACGAGTCCCAAGATACGCCATACGACGCCATGTTCAGAAATACGCAGTGAACGCACAGAATGCTTTCGGTTCTTTGTGCAACCCTGTTTTCAATGAACGTAGTTGCAGCTTTTTAAAAGCCGCCAAAAAATGGGTTTCATATTTTTTCTAATTTTATTAATGAGTGTGTGCCTTCAATAACCCACGACTTTGATTAAATTTGGTGGTCGTGTCTAAACCTTAGAAAACGGCCCGTGCCCACGCTAAAAAGAGTGAGCGCCACTCAAACCGGCTAGTTCTCGATCGGTGGTTTTCGGCCCGAAAAAAAACCGAAGTTCAAGCCCCAAATTCTGTTCTGGGTAGTCGGGCTCTCATATGTCACGTACAGCTAAAAGTCTCGGCGAGCATAAGTACACTGTCAGCGTCCCTCGAATAAAACGATACGAAACGATATGATATACACCCGTTAAGCTTTGTCACAGGAGCGCTGGTGGATTTGAAAGTCAGCTGTTTTATGTGACGTCAATTTTCCCGCTAGATGAACTGACGCCAGTTTCTAAGAGGTGGCTCTGCGACGTCGCAGTTTGCTCTCAGCATAACCTATGCTCCTCAGTTATGATCAAACGTGTGCGATCTTAGTTTTTCCTGGCAGAGCTAACCGCGTTTGTCCTTTTTTTGTTTTCAGACGAACCGGGGAGAGCACATTTTTGCGAGACGCAAGAGGTTCTCGGTCGATGTGAGGGTCCCATCTGCAACGGCTTCAGTTGTGCTGGCCTCCAACAGGACGCTAAACGCCAGACTCGTATCCTTCCATCTGAATCACATCGGGCTTGAGATTAGTTACGACCGGGATTTCGATCTTGATGCTTCACGCCACGAGAAGTCCTGGGACGAAGTTGATCGTTCCACGCGCTCAGAGCTCATCAAGATCCTCGAAGGCAGCGATTTCACAGCCCTTTCTCAGGCATTTGCTAACACTTGCTTCGCCTGTAGATGATTCTCCTGATCGCCGTGGAGGAAGAAAGAGGTGTTTGAACAAGTGTCGAAGAGGGACCGAACCGAAAGCCGAAACCCAGCAGTTACATTTAACCGGACCGAACGTGAACGAAACCGAAATTCTCGCCGCCATCTTGGAACTGAACTGGAAGTGAACGGGAATAAAATATAAGGACAACTGTTTCAAAACGGTTCACGGTAGTTTTTTTTTTTTTTTATTATTACAAAATGAATATTTCGAAATGAAAAATTGCAGCTGCATTTCTATATATCGATAAAATCGCCTTGTACAGAGTTGTGTATCAGAAATTGTTTTCGTGGCGAATTTTATTGACACTATAATTAATCATGTATCACGTGATCACGTGGCGTCATGGCATCCATACATGCTGTCAAGTGATGTCACATCACGTGGCCACGTGACGTCACTTGATGTCGTCACGTGACTGGCTGGGTGAAGTCCATTTAGATTGAGAACTCCACGGGATGTGTTAGCGCTGTTGACACCCTGTCTTCATATGACACCTCCACTTCGCCCAGTGCTTGAGTTCATGACAATCCGCCTCTGGTAATGGCTCGTGTTCAATCAATGATGAGAATAAAATGTTAACAATGTATGAAGTCTGCAGCCCATGCTCAATACGTTGCCGTCCCCAGCCGATAACCGTAATGAAAACTGACGGTACATAATTAGCGTCAGATCACATGGTTTCTCCGTCTAATTGCGAGGTGAGGAGGGGAAAGCTGTTTCGTTCCTTTATTTTCTCCTGTCTGCCATTGCGCCGAGAGAAAAACGAATGGGTGTTTTTTTGAAAAGTTATCATCTTCAGTGATTAGTTCTCAGCTATACTTATTGAACGTACAAATATTGTTGCAGGGCCGATTTTACATGCATTTAGGCACCCAAACATGTAATATTTGTTGTTAGATTGCCTTACGAAGTTGTCCCCAAGAATAGATGCACTGAGAAAACTGAATGTGCATTAATCCGAGGTTACATAGAGCTACGAGTGTCCACTTAAAATAAAAATCCTACTGGCCTCAGAGGGACAGCCGAACGTTGGCAGCCGCTCTAGAGCGCGAGTCCCAGGCGCGTCAAAAAAGTCCAATCCGACGTGGGAACTATCGGAAATATGACTGCTCCGACTCGCCGTACACGGCAGTTCGAGACACATGCTTCCGACGTGTCGTTCCGTTCAGTTCCGCACAGTTCCGGGCCTAGAGTTACTCTATGTACGCTAGAGGTTCAAATGGGGCTCGTGTGCTGTGGCGAATTGAAGCAAAAAGCAACTAGTCGAAAACTGACTTCCTATGGTGCCTTTGCATGGGAAATAGTGAGTGCATTTTCTCCCTGCGCTCGATTACAAGAGAATACATCCCGATTATTACGTACGTACTAGCTAGCTCGGTACATTTGTCAGTCAGGCAGACAAAATAATCGGTCAGTTACGGCGTTTTTCTTTTACATTTTGTGCATTAAAACGGTGCTAAAACGGCCTCGTACATGTATTTATGTGAACTCTCGGACACTGTTAGTGCGAACAAGAAGTCGGCACTTTCCAGCATGGGGGATATACGTGAAAAATGAACGAACGAAATATAGAAACCAAGAGAGACGGTAAGAACTACACAATAACACTGCATCAGTAACTACGCGTGCATGTGCGATCAATATATATTGAAGACCACGTAATATTTTCCGATTTGCAATAAATAAATACTGCTTTATTCTTTCTGCTCTGGGCGAATAGGTTTGTTCTACGTTCAACACATCTCCCGCACGCTCGAAAGAAGTGCCTGACAAAAGCAGCCCGGTATAGAAAATATTAAAAAGACACCTTTCATAACTCACGTACTTTAGTCCGTACGCTTTCAATGTTTTTTTACCGCTCGTAAAGATACAAGACTGGGTCTTTTCATATAGTGACAGGCCTATCATATTAGGAATCTAGTCCAAGGATCTGCTGAAAGCTGGCGTTCTTTGGGCACACTCTATATATTTTATTGTTATTTTGCTTAGAATCGTCGCATGTTTTTAGAAAACTGCTCTGGAACACAGGTTGGGGCCGGAACTATAGCGAAGTTAGACATCGTTCATTGATGAAGAAAAATGTTTTAACTGTAGCAATTACCCTTTTACAATGTTTAAAAAGTACATACTATTCGATACTACCCAAATAACAAGAGTCTTCCATGTTATTTACCGGTGAAGACACAAAATGCATGCGCGTTTTCCCATAGGAATGCACAGGAGCACGGTCTGATCCCTATTGAAAAATCCACCAGTCCGGGTCTGGTGTGTTTCTGACGTTTACATCAGAGCGGAAATTCAGACACGGGTCTTGGCGTGTTCTGGTGTCCTGGTGTGTTCTAATGTGCTGACGTGTTCTAGTATCCTGACGTGTTCTAGTGTCTTGAAGTGTTCTCGTGTCTTGATGTGTTCTAGTGTCTTGGCGTGTTCTGATGTGATCCGGCCGACCTAGCGTCTTCTGGTCTTCTGTGGTGACCGGTCATGCATGCACAATATAATTTAGATGCAGGAAGGACTGCTGATGACAACAGCAAGCAAATTGTGCAAAAAGACTGCTAATTTCTTGCAGGTTTAGGTGTTCATTCTGCCATGAAACAAAACTACAAAGACAAAGAGAATGGAACTTACTATTTTATTTTTTTCCCGACATGCACCACTCGCAAACATTTTCATGCAGACTGGGCTGTCCATGGCTCTTTTCTTCCATGCCACTTTTGCCAGCACATCTGGATGGCTAAGATGATGGCTTCGGCAAGTTGGTATTGCGTGATAAAACCTGCAGTGCATAAAAAGAAATACACGAGCAGTTATTCATAAAAAACCTTAAAATAATAAAATTACAACTACAACAGTAAACAAGAGGTTATGTCGTGTCGAGCCTGATAATCAGTCAATTTATCACTCGGCCCGCCCTCCCACGTTCTATCTGATTTCGCCTACCTGTGGGCAACATAATACAGTCAAACCTGACTATATCAAACTCTCAAAAAACCGTCTACCCCTTTGATATAGCGGGAAATTCTCTATAGAAGTTTTAATGAATTTGACAACGAACAAGCACGCCACATTTAGAAAAGTTGTTCACGCTCGAAGGGGCATCAGTACATCATGAGGGACGCCGACTGCAGTTATATAGTGGCCGCTTCTTCGTTTACCGGCTCACCCTCTCCCCCACAAGACTTTTTTTTTACTCCTGGGCGGCCGACGCGGCTGCTCAAAAGAAAAAAAGCCAGCTTTCTCTGCAAGCTGGCTCTCCTTCAAGGATGATTCTCATAATGGGGGAAAGCCAGCTTGCAGAGCTAAACAGCGTTCTTTGCAGATCGGTCCATGGGGAGACGCTGCAATTTTCGTTCGATGTAATTGCATTTTTCGCTATGCATTTGTATTGCAGCTACAGTCCATTTACAAATAGTTTAAGGGCACAAGGTAAGTCCTATACTCCCCATGCATTTGAGGCCATGTTGAGGAACAGTTTTCTCGATGACTATTAGGAGTATTTCTGTCATGCATACCTATATCATTTTGTTCGAAATATTGTGTTTTATCCACTGATCTAGAATTATTTGAACCAATCTGAAATAAGTTTTTTTTTAATATTTTTTTTTATTCTAGTACTGAAATTTTAGTTTTTTCATCTATTAAAAATTTTGTAACTCAAAAACTGCTAGGTGCACATTTTTAATTTTCGTTCAGTATTTTTGAACACCCATGTATGTGGTAGGAATAAAAAATCAACCCTCTATAATGTCAGGTTAAGGAAAAAGTGGTACCTATGTACTAAAAAACACTGTTTTGAGATAATTGAGTTTAAAGTAAAAAAACTGGTGAATAACAAATTTCTATTGGCACCAACAGCCTTACAGTCATTTTTTCAATAGCCGCCAGCTTGAAAGGCATTGCTAAAGTCATATCTTCGCCTTTAGGCTTATCGCCTTGCTTGCCGGGCCTCTTTTGTGACCTGCCATGTTGCTTGGTCCGTAAAGTATATTAGAGTGATGTCAACTTCCCTCAGCCGCTTGATGGCTTTCTAAACAGGGTTCCATCCACAAAACTTCAAAACATTGGCTTGTGCAATGCTGCCACCATTGAATAAAGGAACAGCATTCAATGGCGCCATTTTGTCGTTATGAAAACAAACACTTGAATGTACACACGTTACACACCTGGGAAAAACGTGCACAGCGTCGCGTGATTGTCTTGGTTGAAAAAAAGCTATCCTATAGTTTAGAAATAATTTTTTTAGATTATCTGTTACTGGACAATCTTTTAGGTCTTGTGTTGATTTTGTTTTGTTGGAGAATTCATCGATAAACAGGGAGTGTATCCCAAAAGGAGGCGTAGTCACCTGCTACTTGCTTTCGGAAGAAGTGATTTTCAGCCCGAAATATAGCTTTCCAAAAACACTGGGACAATGGAAAATGTGCAGGAAGAACTAAACTTTTCAAATTGCGAAAAAAACTAAATCGATTTTTTTTTTTTCAATTTTGCCTTACCATGTGCCCTTAAATTAACCGGGTTCGATAATATCAGGTTTGACTGCAGATCGAACATCGTGGCCTCGCTCCCAGTGAGCAAAGAAAGCGCTGCACCCCAAGTGGCATCTCTCCTGCTCTGTCCACATTCACCTTGTCTGACCTCTTAGTGCCTCTCACTGAACATGTGTGCTGCACAAGGCAAAATTAACAATAGGTTCACAAAAACCCCAAATCATAGTAAATCATAACTCACACTATACAAACATTATGTCTGCCATTAAAGTTGCGACGAGTCACACGCTGCTCATCTACAGCGTGTGACTCGTTTCAACTTTAATGGCAGACCAACTACACGCTGTATAAATATCACCATAACCAAATATTTTTTTTTTGTTCAGAGCTAAGCACAGCAGCCACAATAGGTGCTGCGCCCTTCCAGGTTGATCAGAAATACCCACCTGGTGTGGTAGGGGCTGTTTTCCCACCACACCCTCC